TGCTTCCGCACGGATCATGGGTCACCCCTGGCAAATATTTGAGCAGAGACTACGTCCGAGGTCGTGTGGGATCCTGGGGCTGGAGGCCGCCCTTTCCTCACAGTGGTTTCTGTGCAGTACCTCCCACAGCACACCTTCACAGCTGTCCCCCCCAGGTAGCCGGGGTTAATCGTGTCCCCCTGCCACCCACCCCCAGGCTCAGGCCGGTCCACGTGGTGGGTCCGGCCCACCCAGCCGTGGATACCTCCAGAGTCGGCTCTTGCTCTTTGTGGTTTCCCAGCTCGTTTTCTGTGCTCTCTGCTTCCAGGGAGATGTGTCTCCAGCCTCCCCCAGCGTGCGCACTGCGGGGCCTCGCGAGAGGCCCTGCCTTGAATTCCCCCAGAAATTGCCATGGAGTCTCAGCCCTCAGCAGCGGAGCTAGCCTGGTGTTTCTGAGGACCTTAGGAGACGGAGAACTCACCTGAGGGCTAGCCTTGTGGAATCCCTGTACTGCTCACACCATCCCAGCTTGAAGATTTTTAGGACGGTCCTAGTGTCTTTCGGGCTGTGTTTGCCACAGCTGTCCGGAGTAGGATCTTGGCAGGCGGAGCACAGAGACCTCGGTTTGTGATGCCAGTGAGGAAGAGAGATTTGTGCCTGCACTGCTCTCCCTGAGGTCCTCGACTGGCTCGATGGCCCGGGGTATTTATGTGACGGCAGCTGTCCTTCTGTAGCTTCTCTGGGTCAAGAAAGGCTTCTGGGAAGGAGGGAGAGGAAGAAGGCAGCCAGGGGAGGAAGTGGAAGCTGTTGCCGGTGTGGGAAGTGACCCAGGCTGAGCACTTTGCCTGGACTAGATTCCGCAGGTGCAGTGGGAGCCGTGGGGAGCTGGTGCATCCTCCGAGAACGTAAGATGTTCTTTTCTCTGCGGGACTAGGCGCCGCTGCCTGCCCGCCCACAGCCCGCATGTGTGTATCTAGGGACCTTTGCCCCTCGTATGCCATCCTGCTCGTCTCCTGCTGAGACAGCCAGCGGAGTCCTAAGGCAGCCCATCCCCAGCTGGGCACCTTGTCCCCGTCCTTCGTCAATCCCTGGACAGAGCTGCAGTCCTGTGCGTGCAGTTTCATTGGCTTGGGGCGGGGGAGGGTTTGTAATGAGCAGCCCTGTTCTTCTGGGGAGGGGTAATTCCCTGTGTGTCTGAGAGAGAGGGCAGACAGATATGCAGATAGGGCAGTGGAGTGTGGGAGACTTGAATGTGAGGAACTGAGGCAGGATCCAGGGCTGTGTTCTTGTCCCCACGCCTGAAGGATCCTGGGAAAGGCTCTTCTGTGGAACCGTCTATTATGTGGGGAATATGCATTCTGGAGAGGGAGAAGCCATCCTCATCACTGTTAATAAGTAGTCCTAAGAAAATATGAAACCACCCCCAGGGCTCTCCAGGCCTGGGAGATCCAGCCCGGGACTTGAGAGTTTCCAGCTCTGGGCTCTTCGCGCAGCACCTAGGATGGAGAGGCCCTGCCTTCCTCAGGCATTCCCCCACCCCAGCCCCCTCAGGAATGTGCCACTTTTATCTTGTACTTTGCTTCTACGCCGGGAGCATGGAATTCTGAGGCTGAGAGGGACATTGGGAGTTGGGCTGGACTGGGGGGTGTAGAGGAAATTGGGGAGTAGTATTTCTTTAAAGCACACGCAGCCTCCCTCATCCTTGCCACCTAAGCTGGGTTCTCGATCTGCTCATGGTCTTACGGGTTACAGTAAACTAGCTCATCTCCAGGGCCTCGGAAGAGGACTGATGTTTAAAATGAAGTGGAAAGCACAGCAGGGCAGCTCCCTGCCTCCTGCCCCCATCCCCGGGTGAGCCCTGCACTTCACGAGCGCCGGGTGCAGCCCACACTCATGAACAGGCATCCGTGCTTGGAGAGGGTGAGCATCGGGCTCCAGCCAGAACTGAGGGCAAACACTTCACCTTGGCCAGCCGACCTCTGGACAGCCTCTGAACAGGAGGTGAGACCCAGCGAGCAGGAGACTGGACGCTCAGGGACGCAGAAGTGAGTCACTCGTTCAGAACTGTGTGGTCCAGGACTGAAGGTTACCTTTTGACTTTCCACTGCCCTTAGGCAGGACACTTCACCAAATCCAGACAATTTTACCACCTCCGAGGGAGATCACCTCGGCCATTAACAGAAGAGGTGCCTGTAGCATCCAGCAACTCTGAATTCTGGAGTTTCCCAACCTCACAATGTCTCAGCCAAAAACTAAGGCCCACGATTTTACAGACAAGGAGACTGAGGGCCGGAGAGGGCATATGACTTGCCTCCTGGCTCCTAATTGAAGTTTTTCATAATGCGGGCCTTGTGCTGTAACACCTGTTTGGTCCTTTAGAGAAGGAGCAAATGGCCCACTTCTCTCCAAAACGGGGCCCAGCGTGTGGTGTGCTGAGGACTGTTATTTATTTGGCCTGCTGGTAATGACAGCTCGTCACCTACTCGCCCCAATCTGAGGAGGAGCCCTGGGCTGGAATTTCCTGTTTTCTGAGGGCTCCGGGGGCTGCCCCAGCAGGCTGACTCCCCTGCCGCCGGCCGCTGCCCGCCGCCGTTCCAGGGTGTTCCAGGCCGGGCTTTGCCGCCTCTCCTTGCTGGGCCGGCTCCGGGCCTCTCCAGGTCTGGGCTTGCCGGCTGCGAGGTGGAAGCGTTGAGGGACTCCGTCGGCCCGACACCAGGTGCCCAGAGGCCGGAGGTCCGTGCGCCCCGGCCGCGGCCCCGGCCCGGGCCCAGCCCCGCGCCCCTCGCCATGGGCCTGGCCCTCGCCCGCGGGCCCTGAGCATGGAGCGGGGCTGGCCGCCGGGGGACAGCCGCAGCCGGGAGCGGCCCGCCGTCTGCCGCCGCGCCCTCAGCGTCTGCGACTCGCTGGACCTGCACGGCGCCCCGGCCGGCCGCGCCGCCGCCGCCCTGCAGGCCGCCCTGAGCGCCGCGCGCGAACAGCCGGCGCGGCCGCGGAGCGTGTGCTCGGGCGGCCCGGGGCCCCCGCCCTCCGGCGCCCGCAGCCTGCTGCTCGGCCTCCTGCGCCCGCGCCTCGGCCGCCGCGGCCCCGCCGACGGCCCCCCGGCGGCTCCCGGGCCCGCGCCCTCGCGGCTCCCCGGCTCGGCCGCGCCCAGCCCCGCGCCCAGCCCCGCGCCGGCCCGGCGCAGCCGCACGCGGGGGGCCCAGACGCCGCGGCCGCGGCCCACCAGCATGACGTTCCTGGAGGTGAACCGCCTGGAGCTGGCGGCGGCCGAGGGCGCGGGCGCGGGGCTGGGCCGCGCGGGGAGCGCGGGCTTCTTGCGGGGCGCCTCGCTGTGGAGCAGCCAGCGCTGGCAGGTGCTCCGCGGCGGCGGCGGCGGCGGCGGCGGGCGCGGCACCCCGAGCCCCCGGCGCGGCCTGTCTGCGCTGAGGAAGAGCTTCAGCTTCCGCCTGCGCCGCGGCCAGGAGATCCGGCGCGCCGAGTCGGGGCTGCTGCCCCGGGCGCGCACCCGCAGCGACGGCGACGCCAGCTCCCTGGGCGCCTTCCCCAGCCGCCGCGACCTGCTGCTGGGCGCCGAGGCCCCGCGCGCCGCGCCCGAGCCCGGCCGGCCCCGCACCGCCGCCGGCCTCTGGAGACTGCTCACCAGCCGCTTCCGCCGGAGGGAGCCCGCGCCCGCCGAGCCGCTGTGGAGCCGCCGGGCGGCCGCGGCCCCGGGGCTCCTGGGCGCGCAGAGCGGTAAGGGAGAGGGCCCGGCCAGAGCCCTCTCTGGTTGGAGTCCCTTGTTGAGAGCGGGTGTGAAAACAAACCGAGCCAGCCTGGGAGGGGTGGGTGTGCCGCGAGGGCCGGGGGACCAAGTGAGACCGCGCCCCGGTGCGCCGCGGGGGGCTCATGGGTCCCAGAAGGTGTCTGTGGCAGAGGAGGACTTGCAGGTGCGTCCAGTCTGGGTCCCCTGCCAGCGGGTGCTACCGCTGGCCCTTGGCATGGTGGAATGTGAGACCAGGACGGAGGGGCCCCTTCCTCACTCTCTGGTACGTGCAGAACTGAGCCTGGGGAGGGGCGGAGAGGGTTCCTGTCTCTAGCTTCCAGGTGGGCTTGAGTCGTCACCTCTGGCTGCTTCTGCACATGAGCAGAGGGACTGCTTGTGGACCCGATCGCTCAGTGGTGGTGGCCATTCTTTGAGACAGCCTGTGGAGGGGAAGCAGGCTAAGAGGCTGGCCCAGGCCAGGGCCATCTGGAGCTGGCTGGAGGATGTCCATTACCATGCAAAGAGTAAAGAAAGTGGGTCCGGTGGTGGCGCTGGAGGGGGCTCTGGGGAGCTGGAGGCTTCCCTTCCCCAGGACACTGCCAAAGGCAGGCCAGAGCTGAGAACGGCCTGGACCAGAGTTCAGGCAGCCCAGGAGGCGGCTCTCCGGGGAAAGAAAGAGTTGGTGGCCTCCCACCAAGGAGGAGCTTGGGGAGGAGGGCCAGTTGGGCAGGATAGATAGCTCCCCATTCAACCTGCCCCTCACAGAACAAGGCCGGGTGAGGGCTCCTCCCTCTTCACCCCGCCTAGGAATGTGGTGGGTGGCCCCACCCTGTGAGGGTGAGCTGTTCCTACTCGCTGGCTGTGGGAGGCTGGCCCCCCTGCCCAGCTGCCAGGTGCCCGGCCCGGTTTGGGTCTGAGCTGAGAACTACTGGAGAGGCCTCTCACCTGGGCCCTGGTGGGACCAGGCCCAGGTGTGGCTCAAGGGGGGAACTGCTTACCTTGCTGGAGCAGTAAGAGGAGGAGGGACACGGGTCCAGGCCAGGAGAACTGGGCCCACACCTCTCAGAGTCCTCTCCCTGAGGACCATCATTGCTCCAGTCCTCTCCGGGAGCATTTTCCTGCCGCTGTCTAGAGAATTAGGGGTGAGGGTTGGGGTCCCATCAGGACCGTGCTGTTTTCTGGCCTCAGCTCAGGCAGGGGCAGCATAGGAGACAGCTGGTGGTGGATGGCCCGGGTGTGCGTGCCGCCTCAGTCTGATGGGTGGCCTTCTCTCCTGCAGACTCCTTTGTGAACAGCCAGGAGTGGACCCTGAGCCGCTCGGTTCCGGAGCTTAAAGTGGTGAGTGAGATCTGGGCGGGGGGGCCCAGGCAGCCCTGGGACGGGGTGGGCACGGGCTAGCCTGATGGGCTTCCCCCGCTTCCAGTCCCCTCCTTCTCGGGTCTTGGCCTCTCTCTGCGGCCCCTCACTTCTGTTCAGCTTCCTTTTCTGGTCCTTAGCTCTGGTCTTTCTTAGGGTCATCTCTCTTCCCTGCCCCTGACCATTGCTCTCACCCCTTCTTCTCCCACAGGGCATTGTGGGGAACCTGTCTAGCGGGAAGTCGGCCCTGGTGCACCGCTATCTGACAGGGACCTATGTCCAGGAGGAGTCCCCTGAAGGTGAGCATCACGGGCTTGCCTGGGCTCTGAGGCTGGCCACTCTGCCCCCTCTCTCTCCTGGCTGTCGTCTGTGCCGGGGGGCTGGAGCCCCTCGTCCTTCCGAGTCCTCCTGTCTTCTCTGTTGGTAGCGCTGGATTTCAGAACTGCTTGGCCCCGGGGGCTCTCCCAGCTTGGGGCCTGATCGTGCACTCTGTCCTAGGGGGTCGGTTTAAGAAGGAGATTGTGGTGGATGGCCAAAGTTACCTGCTTCTGATCCGAGATGAAGGAGGCCCCCCTGAGCTCCAGGTGATGCTCCTGCCCCAGCCCTGGCCCGTGGCACCCCTTTCCCAAGGATCTGGTTGGGACGGGGCAAAGCTGTGTGTGTGCAGAGGGATGTGGAGCTGGCCTGGGAACGGGTGCGGGTGGTAATTCTGCTCGGTCCCCCCAGTTTGCTGCCTGGGTGGACGCAGTGGTGTTCGTGTTCAGCCTGGAGGATGAAATCAGCTTCCAGACCGTGTACAACTACTTCTTGCGGCTCTGCAGCTTCCGTAATGCCAGCGAGGTGCCCATGGTGTTGGTGGGCACACAGGGTGAGCGGGCCCGCGGGGCCGGGGACGAAGCCACCTGCTCTCCCCTCTCCCCCTTCCTGTGTCGCCCTGGAGCGGGCACCGCCTCCTTGCTCCATGCGCGCTGGATCTTCCCCAGCTGGAGCCTCCCACCGGTGTGACGGTCGTGTCCATGTTTTGGGGGATGGATAAACGGAGAGGCTGGCCCGTGTCCACTCTGAGTCGGTGGGGGCTAGAACGAGGCCTGGACGCCCGTGTGCTCGAGCTCCGCGTTGTCCACTGGCCCGGCTCATGGCCCACGTGTCCTCGGGCCCAACGCCGCCCCCCACCCCCGTCCCCGTGCGTGGCACCGCTTCTCAGCAGGCTGAGTGCAGTCCCACCCTCCCGCCCCCCATAGATGCCATCAGTGCCGCAAACCCACGGGTCATCGACGACAGCAGGGCCCGCAAGCTCTCCACAGACTTGAAGCGCTGCACCTACTATGAGACGTGCGCGACCTACGGGCTCAACGTGGAGCGCGTCTTCCAGGACGGTAACGCGGGCGCGGGGCGGGAGGCTCCCCCCTTTTCCAGGCCGGTAACTCGGGCGCGGTGGCGCCCCCCGAATGGGGGCTCAGGAGGCTCTGTGCGCCCTGGGGGGCGGCTCTAAGCTGGGCTTCTCCCTTCCCCCCAGAGGGGTAACTGACTCTGCTGTCCCCTGCAGTGGCCCAGAAGGTCGTGGCCTTGCGCAAGAAGCAGCAGCTGGCCATCGGGCCCTGCAAGTCACTGCCCAACTCCCCCAGCCACTCAGCAGTGTCCGCCGCCTCCATCCCGGCCGTTCACATCAACCAGGTGCGGCCAGCCTCCCCGCCCCCCGCGCGTGTCCTCGCCTCGGCCCTCCTCATCCTGTCTGTCCGCCTGCGTGTCCCCCCTACCCCGGTCTGGTCTCCCGCCTTGTGACTGGTGTGAAAGTGCTGGCTTGCACTCCCCGTTGCCTGCACGACTGGCCTGGCCTCCTCTGAGCCCCACAGTGACCACCTCCCTGCTCGTCCTGTCCCTGCTGCCGCCCCTCTTGCCCCACAGCCGCCCCTCTTGCCCCCAGCCGCGGTAGTGGAGACAGCCCGGAGGCTGGCTCGGGGTGGCGCTCTCGCAGCTGGCTCGGGAGCTGCTCCCCGTGGAACCATACTGGGGGCCTGCTCCCTCCTCACCTGCGGGCCCTGCAGTTAGAAGGGCAGCACGGGCCCCACAGGGGCCGCCGGCCTTTGTGCCGTGCGGGGTGTTAGCGGTGTTCTGAGCCAGGTCCTGCCGGCGTTCCTCCCGTGACACCACCGGGATGCCTGCCCGCTTGCTGCCTACCGCCTGGTTAGTTTCGGGCCCTCGGCATTTGGGCCGGTGCTTCCTCCTGTGACTCTTTCCCCGCTCCGTCCCCTGCTCCGCAGAAAGCCCCGGGTCGGCACACGTGGGCTGGGTTGAGTGGTCCAGCTGACTGCCTCCGCTCTACTTCTGCCAAGGGCTTTAGTCTTGAAGGCCCTCCTGGCCCCCCAGCTTTCTGATGGCAGCCTGGCTGCTTTTCCAGAGCCCCCCTTTAGTGCTTCAGGGGAAGGCAGGTGTTTCCCTGGGAGCATCCCCGCCTGGAATGGAGGAAGAGCGTTAGGTCTTTCTGCCTTAGCCCCGAGCCGCTGTGCGTCAGCTGGCAGAGGTCAGGGGTGGACGTCCCAGCTCGGTGTGTGGGCCCCGCCACGTGGCTCTGAGGCCAAAGGGCAGCCGTTGGGGCATTTTGCTCTTTTTGTGCAGGTGAGGATTCGAGGCGGCTGTCAGGGCAGGACGTGTTCTCTGCTTAGTGAACATCTTAGGGGCAGTTAGGGAGCAGGCCTTGCTGTGCTGTGCGTGTTTCCCGAGTCCTGGAGTAGCCGGGGCTGCCAGGCGCTTTCTGTCTCCATCCTGTGCCCCCTTCCGTCTCTCTTCCCTTCCCACCTCTGTCCCTTACCTGCTGCTTCTTCCGAGAACATCTTTGCTCCGTGCCCCTCTCGGCCTCGGCTCTCCCGTAACCTTGCCCCTGTCACGCACGCTGTCCGGAAGCGGACCTCAGCCTCCCCGGGCACCCTGCGCCCCACCGTGGCCTCCCGCATCTTCGACACATGTCACTGACTGGGGGGCTTGTCCAAGGTGACCTGCTCCCTCATGCCCGACGCCCCTGTGAGGCAGGGCTCCCCCAGCCTCTAGCACTTACCCGGACCCGATTCGCGGGGGCCCTAGTGCGGCAGCCCAGGGCGGTGCTGGCTGGCTCCTGCCGGCCGCCAGGCTGTGCCGCCTTCCTCCTCTGCTGCCCCATGAGCCCCAGGCCAGGTCCCCACACCGCAGGGGTGCCCAGCTCCCGCCTGCTGCCCGCCCCCGGGCCCTGCTCCAGAGCAGCCCTCAGCAGCCCTCTCTGTCCTTAGGCCACGAATGGCTGCAGCAGCGCCTTCAGCGACTACTCCTCCTCAGTCCCCTCCACCCCCAGCGTCAGCCAGCGGGAGCTGCGCATCGAGACCGTGGCGGCCTCCTCCACCCCCACACCCGTCCGCAAGCAGTCCAAGCGGCGCTCCAACATCTTCACGGTATGTGCCCTGCGCGCCGCCCTCCCGCCGGCCCGGCTGCTGGCACTGGCGAGGCAGGGCCCAGCCCCCAGCCGGGGGGGGTGGGGCGGGCAAGAGCCGCAGACACCGGGCCACGGCAGCCGAGGCAGGAAGATGCCGTCCACACAGACCCACACCGCTTCTGTAGGCTCCTTCCCAGTGCCCTCCTGCACATCCAGGCTCTTCTAGACGGTTTCTCTGAGCCCTCGAGGGGCTGCTCACAGCATACGTACACAGACCCTCCTGCCTCGGCCGCATACACTTCTGTCTCTCTCTGACCCGTAGGGCTTCTTGGCCAGCTTGAGGGCTCTTTGGACACGTCTGTTCTCACACCCTTCACACCCTTGATTCCACAGTTGTGGGTCAAGCCCCCACGGTTTTTTGCCCAAGGCTACACGAAGGGTTAGCTGGCGGAGCCAGAACCGGGGCTCAGGCCTCCTTGTCCACATTCCGCTCTTTTCCCCTGACCTTACGCTTCCCACCCACCGCTGCAGGTGGTCCACCAAGGGCTTAGACGTCTTCCCCCAGGTCTCGGCTCCTGAGGCCTAGCCTGTGCCTCTCCACCCAGCCTCGGGCCCCGTACAGGCTCATCCTCTCCCCTCCTCACAGACCTCACACAGGGGACCCCCGTGCCTTCGGCTAGGGGTCCAGCCCCTTGGCCCTTAGGTGCCCCCAGTCTGCTGGCTGTTCATGCCCAGCATGCGAGACACAGTGCCTGCCCACATTCTCACTCTCGAGCTGGGACGTGGCTGGGCCCTTCTGGGAGTCTCGGGTCAGACGCAGGTGGGTGAGCTGCCTGTGTGGATTCGCAGGAGGTCCCTCGGTGCTCTCATGTCAGTCCGCGCGCCTCCTTCTGAGCAGCAGGGCTGGGCTCTCAGCCTGGTCCTGTGTCCAGCTGGCCGGGCAGGCCCTGCCAGGCTCTCAGGAACCCCCCATCCCCCCCGCCCCCAGACAGAGCCAGTGCCCCCAGGCCTCGTTCATTCATTCTCGCCTCCGCCTGCCCAGCACCCCGCTGCCCGGTCTGCCCACCTCTGTCCCCCCTGTGCCTGCCACGTGGCCCCCCCTCGTCCCTGCTGACAGCCGCTGCCGCGCATTGCACTGCCCCAGCCTGAGCCTGCCGAGACTTGCAGCGTCTTGTTTCTGTTCGTGCCCATCGAGCCACACACCGCCCTGGGCTGCCTGCTTGTGCCCACGCCCGCTGCTGCAGAGCCCCCTGGTGCCTGTTTGCAGTGACCGCTGCCCGCACTCCTGGCACCCACTCCCTCCACCCCATCCCGAACCTCCCACTTGCTCCGCTGCCAGGCCTGCTGTCCTCCCTCTGCCGCCCTCTGTCCATTGTCCACGCCCAGCTCACGGCCTCCTCGCCGCGGCCCCCCGTGCTCCCGGCCCTGTGCTCCCTGCTGCCCGCTCCGCTGTGCTCCTCCGCCTGTCAGCCTCCCCTGGGTCCTTCCACTGTCTCATTCTCACTGTGGCAACCTTAGTTTTTCTTTTCGTTGTTTCCGTGGTGACCTCCCTTGCGCCATTGTCCACGAGGAGGCCTCGAGACCTGTCTGTCCCTAGGCGTGCGTCTCGGGACCTCCCCCACTCTCATCGTCGCTGTTGGGGCCACCTCCTCGCCCTCATCATCCTCCCCAGCAGAGCCATGCCTGCTCCGTGGCCGGTGTCCTTGTGACCCACCCCCTGGATGTGGCCATCGATGTCTCCCCCATGACCTCATGTACTCATTTTGTTGCCACTCTTGCCCTGCTTCCCATCCTGGGGGGCTGCCCCCTCTGGGCTCCCAGGGAATCCTCTGGTGGTTGGGGGCCTCTTGGCTCACCAGCCTGTCCGGGGCAGGCTTACCCCATTCCCCTCAACCAGCTCTTTGGTCCGGGGACCTGGTGGCAGCAGAGTCCCATCCACCTTCCTCCTCCCTGGGCCGAAGGGGCAGAGGCTGTGGTGCCCAGGAGAGGCCTGGGGCAGGTGCTGACGCTGGAGCTGTGGGCAGTGGCCTCTGGCCCGGTTCTTCCTATTCCCGTGGTTGTGCGCCCCCCACCTGCACTTGCAGGCCTGTGCCCCGGCCTGTGCCCCGGGCTCCTGGCGACCTGGGAGAACAGGAAGGGATGGGGGCCCCGGCCGCCCAGTGGCGAACATTCCCTGATGAGCTGGACTGCCCAGTGGCCCCTGCCGCCTCCTCGTCCTCCTCCTCGTCCTCCTCCTCGTCCTCCTCCTCTTCATCCCGCTGCCGCCTCTCCCCAGGCACCTGGGTCTTTGCCCTCACCAGTGCTGACCGACTCGTGCGGGGCTTGAGTATAACTTGCCAAAATCTTTATTCTTTCGATATTTGCAGATATGTGCCACTGTTTCCAACTTTTCATCAACAAAAAGGCCTTTCCAACTCCTTCCAAATTAGAAGACCAGGTGGTGACACACAGCACCTCTGGACATTCTCCCCTGTTCGGGGCCGGAGGCGGGCCGGGCCCTGGGACTGCTCTCAGATGAGAAGCGGCCGCCGTGCTCCCCACTCCAGAGACCCACAGGAACCTTTGTAACTAACCCCCACCCCCAGGGAAGGCTAGGAACGCTGGAGCCCGCGGCTGGGGGCTGCCGGGGGACCAGGCCCGGCTGGACGCGCTGCGCCAGGCTCACTGCACCAAGAAGAAGGGAGCTCGGCCCCACGCCCGGCGCCGGGCCAGCGCAACACGGCCCAGAGGGGCGGGGGCGTGCAAGCGCCCGAGGGTCCGAGCGCCCGCCCGGCCCAGCTGCTCCTGGGGGGAGCTTTCCCGCCCCTCCCCCCTCTGCTCCTTCCTGCATGGACTTCTGCCGTTCCTGCTCCGCTCCGGATGCCACCGCCACCGCTGCGCGCTTGCCTTTCCCCCTCTTGGCCTCCCCGTTTCCTAGGATCCGCACTGGGGCGGGCTCTGCCCCAGGAGCCTGGCAGGGGCGCAGGGCCTCTTCTGGCCTCTCTCCTCTCTCTCTCCATCCACTGTGCCCCTCGGGCCTCGCCGACCGTGCTCGGTGCAACGTGCCATGTGGTGTCTGTGCCGCAGACGGGCCACTGCCCGCTCACTTCTGGACTTTGCTGTCCCCCGGTTATCGTGCCCCGTGCTCCCCGCCAGCCCTCAGCCCCACCGTCCACCTCTCCTCGCCCCCTCCCTTCTCGTAGGCCCCAGCCCCTGGGCTGCGCGCTCCTCGCGCCCTCGGTATGTTCCGTGTCCTTGCTCTTCTGTAAGGGGCGGGCCTGGCTCAGTGAACTTTGCTGCTCTGTACGGTGCCGTGTGTAAGAATAAACCCATTGGAATACTCGTGGTCTCCGTTCCTTCCCGGTCCCGCCGCCCCGGCCCTGCCCCACTGCTAGGGCCTGCCCAGGAGGAGGGCGGAGGGGAGGGCAGGGGAGTCCACGTGGGCTGCTGTCCCCCCGTGGGCCCTGGGCCCTTTTAACACGCCTCTTCTTTTCTCTTTCAGTCTCGAAAGGGTGCCGACTTGGACAGAGAGAAGAAGGCCGCCGATTGCAAGGTGGACAGCATCGGGAGCGGCCGGGCCATCCCCATCAAACAGGTCAGCGCTCCTTTCCCCTGTGGCCCGAGAGCGGCGGGGATGAGGGATGAGGCCCCGGGGAACACCGCCAGTGGTCCTTTCCTTCCGGCCCCCCCACCTCCCGCCGGGCCTGAATGCTTCACCTGACGGAGGTTTTCCTGCTAAGGACAGACCTCCGGAAGCCTGGCCCCCCCGGGGCAGGAGCAGTCCCTCCGCGGGCCCTGCCCATTCCTGCTCACCGCCACCGGGGGGCAGCAGAGAGCCGCCGGCCGTGCTTGGCGGCTCTCCCCTGGTGCTTCCGGAGTTGGGCGGCCAGCCTACCTGTCCCACTCCCAGAAAAGGAACTCCCAGAAGAGGACCCTGAGGGGCACGCACTGAGGGGCACGCTGAGGGCTGCTCCTGCCCGGGGCTCATTGGTGCAGTTTTCTCCGTGGGAGCCTCTGTTCCCTGGAAAAGCTGAGTTGAGCTGCCCCCCGTCCTGGGCGCCTCCTTGCCCAGTCTGCCTGGCAGGGCTGGGCCTCCGGAAGCTTGGAGCTTCCCAGACCCCCTGGGTGGGTCCCTGTGCTGGAAAAGACCTTGAACGCGGCAGGGCATCCTTGTGCAGGAATGGTGGTGTTGGGCAGGGCTGTAGGGCTGCTGAGCCGGATTGGTAGAGCCGGGAGGTGTCTGTGGAGCTCAGGCAGAAGCGTGCTGGCTGATACGCTCGTGAGGACAGGGACAGGGGCAGGGGCTTGGTGGTCAGGACGCTGGGCCCGGCCCAGATCTTTGCAGGGGCTGGTGGTTAGACATGGTGTGTCTATAGGGACCGTGTTGTCTGTCAGGTTTTGACTACAGAGGAGACTGGGGTGGCCAGGTCACTGGAGCTCGGCCAGGCCAGGGCCCCGTGGTCAAGGTTTGGCCCTCCAGGCTGGGCCTTCTGGGGCCCGTGGGCAGCCTGACAGAATTCCTGTGTTCCAAGTGGGATTCTGACGCCGCAGGGAAGGTCTACGTAGAACGGAGAGCCCGGAAAGGGTGTCGGGGTCCCAGAGGGCAGGTGGGGAGCCATCTGTTGCTCCCGGTCCTGTGTCTCTGCTTCGGCCCTCCGCTGGAATGTCATCCCATGGGGCCTGGCAGAGGCGGCTCTAGCTGGATCACCGGGCAGCAGCCAGTCTCCTCGCCTGGCTGTGTGTCTGGGTGCAGAATCGGAGCCCACAAACCTGTCGATGGTGTGATCGCATATCTCTTCGGGTGGTGCAAACCGAGCGCCTCCCCGGCAGGTCCTTTCTGAGCCTGATGCACACACATAAACGTTTAATACTTAAAAGAACACTTTCTCTTGGGCCCTTACTTTGAGATAAGGCTAGCCCCAATGCCTCCTTCCTGTTTGGGGTAGAGGCTAATTCGTTACTTCCCTGAATCCCCCACATGGAGGGGAGGGAGAGCTGGAGGATGGGGCTGGAGCCCTGCGAGCTTGCACCTGGGGCTCTGGTCCAGCCCCAGGTCAGCTGGGTCGCCTGGCTGGTATAGGCCGCTAAATCTCAGGGACCCCCTGTAGGAGCGGACCCTGCCAGGAAGGAACCTCAGCGAGCTCTCATGCCACAGCAGGGTCCCACAGGGCCCTCGGGGTGTGCCTGCATGGAGGTGGGGGCCGTCCACGCTCTAGTTTTCCCAGCCCCGTGGCCCTGCCTGGTGCTTTCCCCCAACCTCCAGCTGCCCAGGACCGGTGTGGCCCCCTTCCTTCCCGCCCGCCCTCGTGTCCCGGTCTCCCCATCCCCTTCCTTCCCTTCCCCCCCACTCCTGCTGGGAGTGGAGATTGCATTTCAGTTGCCATTTGCATTCCCAATCAATCCGGACTCCGCAATTAAGCCGGCTGGCGGAGCTGGGAGGGAGGCGGCGGCAGAACGGGTCCTCTGGGGGCTGTCGCCTCCGCACCGCTCCCATTCCGCCCCAGATTGCTTCCTGCTCTGCCGGGCGCAGCCTGGCCGGCCAGGGAGGGGAGCAGGAACCCCTGTAGCTCGTCTCCCTCCTTGGAGGGCAGGATGCAAGGGAATGGGGAGGAGCCAGACAGGCAGGCCTGTCACCAGCCTGGCCTTCTCTGCTTGTTTCGTGTCCGGGCGCAGGCGGGCAGGTGAGAGGCAGGCCGGGGGCGCGAGTGGGCGGCAGGCAGGTCGAGTCCCTGGCCAGCCGTGCTCACTTTCCTCCTTGCAGTCCTCCCACACCCCTGCTGACGGCGTGCTTGCTCATTAGTGCCAGGCTTCCCCTGCTTCCTCCCGGCCCGACGCCCAAGTGAAGGAGAGGCCCAAGTGCTGGGTAGGAGAGGGTTCCCTCCTAGGCTGGCCCCCTGGGCCTCCTGATCCTGATTCCCTGCTTGGAAGAGGGAGGAAGCCCTGCATGTGAGTCCGCTCTCCCTACCTGGCCGGGAAAGTGAGGCCCAGGCAGGTAACGGGACTTGTTTGATGTTGAGGGCTAGTTGGTGGCAGACCCGGGAGCAGAGCCGGGCTTCCCTTTCCCATGACCCGGAGCTGGAACTGGACCCGGGAGGGAAGGGCTCCAATGTGAGGAAGATGAAGGGTCCGGTGAGGGAGGGCAGGGCTCTGGTGGGAAGGATGTGAGAACAGAGGCTAGTGTGGAATCCCCTCTGAAAGCAGGGGGTTGTGGAAGACGGGCAGAAGAGGAGCAGGTGAGCTGGCCGCGGCAGCCATCTTCCCAGCCTTTCTGGAGGGCACAGGGTGAGACTGGGGGTGCTGCCTTCTCCAGAATCTGATTGTTGGTCCTGAGGGGTGTTGTCTGCAGTCAGGGGAGAGGGAGCAGCTGAACTCTTGCCTTGTTCCTGGCCTGGGAGTGGGTGGATACCATGCCCGGAAGCAGGTCACTGAGGCTCCTTTGCAGACCACAGGCCAGGGGTCTGACTGCCTTCTGGAATGTTCCATACAGTCTAGCGACGGTCCCATTAATACCACTTGTCTTCAGATGCCACTTGTGAGGATGGGTCTCTCGTGCTGATGGGGACCAGGTCGAAGACTGTGTCCTCAGGTGACCCGGGACCCCCAACTCGATCTCATGTGGCCGCATCTCCCACGGCGGCATCTGTCTTTTGGGGGTGGCGGGATGAGGGAGATCGGGAAAGGAAGGAGTGGTAATGAGGATGCAAAACATCTGTTGAAAGGTGGGAGACTCTCAGCTCTGTCTTGGTTCCTGCGGGGCAGATCGGGCAGGAGGTTCCAATCACCCGTTGGCTTATCTCCTCCCTTTAGGACTGAGCCTTCTCTTCGGAAGAACTTAGGAAGTGAGAGAGAATCAGGGTTTACCCTGCACCCTTGGACCCTAGCTGATGCTGTTTCTTCACACTTGAGTTTCTTTATCCCTGTTTTCCTCCTTGTCTTGGGGCAGGGCCTCCATTCCTCAAGGAGGAGCCGTTACAAAGCCACATCTTCGAGTTCCCTCTTTTTGGTCCCCACTGGGGTGGACTCCGGGTGCTTCCTCTGCTCTCTCCTAGCCTCTGCTGGTCCTGACTCCTCCCTGCTTGACCTCCTCCTATGTGGCTGTCTCTTCGGAGGAGTTTTGTTTGGGAATCTCCAGCAAATACTGTCTCTACTCAGCCCTCCTGCATTTGGGGCAGGGGGGCTCCTGGGGGTGATGCTGGTCCTGAAAAGCTGCCACTGAGATCCGTTCATGGCACTTTGTCCTCTCCCTGACCCCAGCTCCTATCCTCAGCCATTTTCCTGTGCTGTCTTGTCGTTTTGGGGAGAGAGCCAAAGGTGGGCGAGGGTGTCTTCGGGGGTATCCTTAGAGGAAGGCGAAGGCCACCCTTGGGTCTGCCCTGTGGCCTTCCTCTCTCGGCCCACGGCCCCTTTCAGCATCTTTGACGGCCCCCGTCAGCTGGCTTCTCCCAGCGCACCCACCAGACGTTTGCTGGGCGTCTGCTGTGTCCCGGGCATGGTCACGGTGCTGAGGATGTGTCCGTGAACAGAACACACGGACAGCCTTGCTCTCACGGAGCTCGTGTTCGTCCCTCTGCTCCTCTCCCCTCCACGCTGAGTGTGTCATAGGCTTGCACAGAGAATCTGGTTGCTGAGCTCTGTGGCTGGGTCTCCACACTGCCCGCCCCCGGGAGTCTGGGGCCTTCTAGGGACAGTCAGGGATTTCTGCCCTGAACATGTTCACCCAGCCCTGGAGACCTGCGGGCAGGAGCATCACTGCCCTCTGACACCCTGCCTCCTGGTGCTGGCATGGCCCCACGACTCCAGGGGATGCGGGGTCCATGGGACTAGGGAGGGGGGCCCCCAGGCTGCTTCCTGGAGGACGGTCAGGGATAGCTACGGCTTCCATCCTTTATAGCCTCTCCACTCAGACGAGGATGGGGGATGGAGGACGGGGTTACCTGGTGTCACCGTGACCTTCTCTGGGCCTGTCTCTGACCCAGCCTCTGTCCTCAGGGCATCCTGCTGAAGCGGAGCGGCAAGTCCCTGAACAAGGAGTGGAAGAAGAAGTATGTGACGCTCTGTGACAACGGGCTGCTCACCTACCACCCCAGCCTGCACGTGAGTCTGCGGGAGGCCTGGGCCGCCGGAAGGGCGGCAGACGCGGAGGGGCGGACCAGAGGATGAAGGGAAGCAAACGGGCTGGCCCTTCAGAAGGGCCCCGCCGTGGTGGCCCGGGGACCGCCCAGACCGCGAGGCGCAGGCCCGGGCTGAGCGCGCACTTCCCCGCGGAGCTCCGTGGCGGCTGAGCCCGTCGGCGAGCGCGCGGCCCCGGGATGGCTGCCTGTAGGCCGGGCCGCCGCGCCGGTCACGCCCTCCGGCCCACGCGCTCCGCGCCTGCAGAGCTGGACTGGGCCCGTTTACGTGGAATTGCCGAGGTTGGGGTGCCGGCGGTGGTCAACCAGTTGTCTTTGGGGGAGCCACGTCCGTGGGGGATCCCTGGGTTCCTGGGCGTGAGGTGACGGAGAGCCGGAGGGCCGTTCGGCCGGGGCTGCCCGGAAGGGCACGGGTCCTCTTGGGAAGGGGAGCCTGGGGGCAGAGGGGTCTGGAGGGCGTGGGGTGCGGTGACAGCAGAGCGGCCCTTGTGGCAGGCCCCCCCCGCCTGCCCCTCCCCGCACCGCGTGGCTACAGCACACAGCTGTCACCGGAATCCATCTCTGTCACCGCCCCACTGTGGGGCTAATGAGTTCTCCTGCGCAGCCCCTCAAGCACAGCACGTGGGCCGGCCCGGGAGCCCGGGGCCTGCCTCCGAATCTGCACAAGGTGTCAGGGAGGCCCGACCCAGGAGGCGCTGGGGTCCACGGTGCCTGCCCTAACCGGGGCCCGGGAAGACGCACCGGGGCCTGGCTCGGAGGGAGCCGGCGGGCACCTGCCTCCCATCAGGCCGGAGCCCAGCCTTGCCCTCCTGGGCTTCTCCCTGGCTGACTCCTCGGACACTGGCTCTTTCCCCCTTAACTTGGGGGCCACTGCTGGTTGGACTGCGTCCCCCTGCTGTCTCATCCTCCACAGGGTGGGAGCTGGTGCCAGGATGCTGGGGGGGCTGTGGTGGGGCCACACCTGGTGCCCTTGGGCATTTAGTCCGAGGCTCCTCGGCCCTGCTCCAGCGGCCACCTCGTGCACAGACCTGGTCCTGCTGCTGAGTCAGCGAGGGGCAGCAAGGACAGGTGTCTGAGGAAGTCCCGGGGCATCGTGCAGGTGCGGGGCCTCCATACCAGAAAGACGGCAGAGCCACGAGGCTCCCAGCTGAGGGGGGCCCCCACGCCCACTCGCAGGCCAGCCTCGTGCCTCTTAACTCGCAGCTGTTCGTACTGCCCCCCGCGCGTCCCCCCTTCACCCCAGGAAGAGGCACTGGTTCTCCTCAGGCAGCGTCTTGCCGGCGGAGCCGGGAACGAGCATCCCGGAAGCACCCCAGCTTCCCCCGCCCCCATGTTGGGGCGGCCTCGCCTCCCCCTTGCTGCAGCCGTCCCCCTTCTTTCTGCCTGTGTGTCGCGCGAGCTGTGCTGGCTCCCTTTTCCTTGTCCCCACGCGTCAGGTGACGCAGGAAGCCCAGTGTGGAGCAGAGGGACAGAAGGGGGTCTCGGGACGTGGAGGACGGTGTCGGGCGGTTGTGTTCGGTTCGGGTTTGGGAAGAGAAGGTGAAGGCTTGAGCGAACGCTGCTTTTCTGCTCAGCAGTCTAGGGAGCGGAAGCGTGGTGGGTTGGTTGGGTCATCGAGGTCGCCCAGCCGGTGGCTGAGCTAATACCTGGACCCACGACTTTGACTCGAAGCGTGACGCAGGTGGTTCTGCACCGTGCCCAGAGCACCTCTCTTCGGGGCTCGCCGACAAAGGGACTGGAGCGTTCACGTCCAGGCAAGTGTTGCCTAGACTGTTGTCAAGGAGGACGGAGGGAACCGACGGGCCGCCTGCCTGGGCCGCTCTGAGCAGCTCAGACGCCCTTCCAGCTTGTTGAACCGAGTGCACTTGGGTGCATTCAGGGGCCAGGGACAGGATCTGGGTGCCAGGGGCTCAGCTCGCCACTGGCTGTCCGTGGCTCTGGCGTAACATGTAGGTCTCCCTCGCACGCGAGAAGCTGGGAGGCCCTGGCCCGCACGGGGAGCAGCGGCCCTGCCCTGTGGATGCTTCTCTTCCCGTCGGGAAAGGTGTGGGAGGGTGAAAGGAGGCGCGAAGACCACAGTGGGGTCGTCCCGCGCTGCTGTGGGAGCAGGGTTGAGTCTACCACCAGCCGAGGCTCTCCGCTCCGTCCGCCCCTCTCGTTTCTCCCCTCCCCACCGCCGCGCCCTCTGTTGCTGCCTCACCTGCCCTCTTCCCTAAGTAGCGCCCCTCGCTTCCTGGAGGTTCCCTCCCGCTGGGCAGCTGTGCCCGAGGAAGGGCCGTCGGTCACCCCCGAGGTGCACACAGCACTCGCGGCTTCGCCAGCTGCCATCGCAGGGACGGCTCCTGCCCGTGACCGCAGGAAGGGCTGCCGGGCAGGCCTCAAGCCTTCCCCCCCCACCCCGCCTGGCCTAAGAGAGCCCGCCCCAGCCTCCCCCATTTTGCAGCCAGCGGAGCCATTCACACAATCACCTTCTGTTAATTCTATCTGCAACATCAATTAAATTGTTTGTAGAAACTAATTGAATGTGGCTTAATCACACATCTTAATAGCTTTCCACGCTCTGAACTCGTTGTTAATTCCAGTAATAAAACGAGATGAGAACGCTGGCTGGGTAATTAGCGAGGAGGCTGGGGAAGAAATTGCCGTTTGATGGCGGATAATAAAGGCAGCCGTGGTGACCGCTCTCCTGAGCCGCCGCTGCCACCGCGCTCCCCGTTCTGCTGACGGAGGGAAACGCCTTCGCTGTGCCCCTGACGTCCCCGTCCCCGCTCCGTCCCCGTCCCTGCTCCGTGCGCTCCGTCTGCCGGCCCGGGGCTGGAGCTGGCCTGGCCCGGGGCTCGGCGCCAAGCGCCCCGGGGGCTGGCCTGTCCGCAGTGGTCGGAGGTGCTCCCGGGGGGCCAGGCCCCTCGCGTCAGTTTCTGGCTCCTTGGCCCTGAGCGGAGCCCCTCTGTGCGACTTGGGTTCTTGGTGTGGGGTCCGCGTCTCCGTGTCCCAGCCCGGGCATCCCGGGGCCGTCACGCGGCCTGAAAACTGTTGCAGCTGCCGTGACCTCCTTGTGAACTAGAGCAGCCCGCGCCCCTCCCCCAGGAGAGGGACCGCAGCTGTGCCTTCGGCCCAGCCAGCTGTTGACAGTTGTGGGAACAGCCGATCCACGATGCGACCGCGTGTGGGGACCCGGGACGGGTGTGCGCAGAAGCCGAGTCCGGGGAACCTCGGGCCTGGGACCGTGAGGCTGATGCTGGACGCTGGGCCCAAAGCAAGACAGCAGGGCCAGCGGTGACTGGGTGGGGGGCTGAGTTTGCTGGAAAACGGACGGCTGGGGCACGCGGCAGGGCTGGGCAGGAAGGGAGCTCCCGGGTTTCTTTCTTTCCCGGGCGCCAGGGCGAGGCTTCGCTGAGCAGAGTGGGGGTGAGAGAGCTTGTCACGGGGGTCCTCCTGTGGGTGGAGACTGCTCCTCCTGACTTCTCGGATGTCGTTCTGTGGCTCTGAGACACGAAGCAGGGTGTGCCCGAGGCTGGGCACTTGGCACCTTTCCTCACGGGGGACGAGGTGGTGGCAGGTCGGGGGGGGCACAGACACAGCCCAGGGCTGTGTGGAAGGGAGCCCCCCCTTGGGTGCAGGCTGCTGGGGGCTGTCCCTCCCCCGTGCCCGGCTGGGCCCCTCTGTCCTTCGGAAGGGCCGCTCGGAGAGCAGAAGGCAGCTACAGGCCTGGCCGGGCCTCACTGCAGCTGGACGTGGCCGGTGAGACCAGCATGCTGGCGTCCCCACAGGTCCCCATCCCCCGATGACCCGCCTCGGAAGGGAGTCTGGCACTGGGTGCTGCTTCCTTGTTCTCGCTCCTCTTCCTGACTGGAAACTTGCACGTTCTTGTGGCTGCTTGGGGCCGGAGGACCCCTTTCTACCTGATGGTCTCTTGGTCATTCCCAGAGTGAGGGCCAGCCTTAAATTACCCCGGTCGGCCCCTGCCTTTTTCTTGCTTCCCAGATGGCAGCGTTCCCCACTTGTTCTTTCAAGCGGGGGACACTGGCCCTTTTCCCTGAAGCTGAGGGTGAGAAGGTAGGAGAGCTGCTGGGTGACAAGAAGTCGGATGTCCCGAAGCGAGTGAAGGTACGAGGGCTGGGGGGCTAGACGGGCACGGGGACTGTGTCTCGGGGAAGCACTCTGAGGGCTGCTCCCGAGGGGGGAGAAGAGCAGGTCAGAGTCTACTCAGGGGAACTCCAAGGCTCAGCTGGCACCACCCAGCCAGATTCTGCTCTCTGGAAGGAGTCGTGGCCACATTTTATCAGGGACGTTAGCTGGGAACTGCTGAGGAACTTGCCGGCGGTAGAAGCGAGGAAATGGGAGGCCGCCGTCGGGAAGGAGACAGCAGAAGCAGTGGGGAGAGCTCGGGCCCTGGCTAGGCTCGGGGTTAAAGCAGGAAGCTAAAGGGCCGCGGCCGGGCTCTGCTCTGTGGCCCCCACGTTGCCGCTCCACCCTGGGACTCCCAGGCCAATGTCAAGACGGCAGGAGTGGGGGCGGGGTGGAGCCCAAGGCGCTGAGTGGCTCCCACTCTCTGGGGCCCTCCAGGTGCTGACCTGAAGTAGGGATGAGTGCCTGGGCCCAGGACGTCTGCCTTCAGTGCGCAGCCCTGGGAATCCACAGAGCCTGGGCTCGAGTCTGGTTCTACCACCGTCCGACGGTGTGACCTCGGGCAGGTTAACCTTTGTAAGCCTCGGTTCCTTCAACTGCAGAGCGGCCCTGCTGCGCCGGGCCGGTTACGTGAGGGGATGCGTGAGCAATGATCTGCAGCTGTGGGGCATGAATGCCTGGCCCCATTGGGTGGGCAGGTGGTGGCATGAGGACAATGGTTATCGTTCCTTTGCTCATCAGATGCCACCTAGTATCTGTGGAACCGTGGACCTGTCTGTCTCTATATTCTTAAGGCTTCTTTTTAACTGTTTAACAGGTATTTATCATCAGGCACTGTTGTCAGGATTGAGGACTGTTCTAGGCTTTAAGGGTTCCCCGAGCCCCAGGGGTGGTGAGAGCTTCTGAAACCAGGGCTGAAGCCCTCGGTGACGCGCCACCCAGAGCTTGGGGCAGCCCAGCCGTCTGCGTCCTTTGGAGTTTGTCAGTTCCTCTCCTGGCCACGCAGGCCTGCTCTTCCCGAATCCCACCTTGGTCCTGTACTTGGCCTTGCTCGCGTTGCCTCCTGAGCTCTTTCCTAAAGGAGCCCTGCGCCTCAGCTCTGGGCTCCACGCCCTTCTCTCTCCCCTGCTCCTGCCCCCTGCTGACTGCGGCCCCCTAGAGCTGCATTCGGTCCCCAGTAGATTGGGTGTCACCCAGACGTGGAGATATCCTGTGGGCTTCACTGTCCTGCTTTTCAGAACTTGAACTTTCCCTCTCCTTCCTTTCTTGCGGCACGGGGAGAGACGTACGAGTTGGCGGGTCAGTGCCAGAGACGAAGTGCGGCCGAAGAGGGACCTGCCCTAACGCGTGTTCTTCTGTTTTGTCCCCATGGCCCTTAGGATTACATGCAGAACATCCACGGCAAGGAGATTGACCTGCTGCGGACCACGGTAAAGGTGCCAGGAAAGCGCCTGCCCCGGGCCACCCCGGCCACAGCCCCAGGCACCAGCCCCCGGGCCAACGGACTGGCCCTGGAGCGGAGTAACACACAGCTGGGTGGGGGCGCAGGTGAGGTGGCTGGTGGCGGTGGGGGTGGGGGGGTGCTTTTCTCTGCAGGATCGGGGAGCGTGGCTATGGAGGCCCATAGAGGGAGGCGCTGTGGGGCTTCACTCTCCCCCAGCCTGGGTCCTCAGGGCTCCAGACATGCTTGCCACCCAGAGTCCTGCTCAGCCAAGTGTGTTTGCCCAAGTGCTGCCCTCTTGGGAGCTGGTAGAGGGAGCAGCGGGTGGTTTGGAGATCAGGATGGGGCCAGACAGCCTGGAGCTGACAGGTGCTAGCAGCGGTCCTGGGGCCGTTTCTCCTCAGCTGGAGCCAACCAAGGCCGGTGAGGGTGAGAACAGGGTCTCTAGCGCACGTAGCCAGCGTCTCAACCAGGCGTGCCGGGGGGACGGAGGGGGGCAGCTGGAAGGGGACGGGGCTCCCTGGAGCTCACCCGGCGAACGCCCTTGGGTCTGCAGTGAGAGGTAGGGTCTTTGCTCAGAGAGGACTGAGCTTAGAGAGAAGCCGGACGCCAAGCAGACTCTGCCATGAGTCTGGCGGTGTGGGAAGAAGAGCTAGAGCCTGAGAGACTCTGAACTTGAGGCGCAGCAGCTTCTCCGTGACCAGTGCTCGCCTTTCCAGATGGCACTGAGAGTTCAGGTGAATGATGCTTATGTTTCTTTATGTCCCCGGCTCTGTCTGCCTCCCTAGGCCTCTGCGGCCACAGTGTGGCTCCCAAGCCACATTGCTGTCCCTCCCAAGTCCCCGTGCCCCAGATCTGCCTTGGCTTCTGGACCCTCATTCCCAAGACTTCACTCTCCCTGATGTTGTCCTAGATGATTGGCTCTCCTTTTCCTTGGACCCAGAAACAGCTGCGTAAGATGCTGTCCTGCCCTCCCAGGGGCTGCCAGTGTGTCCCTGCCCCAGAGGGTGCTCTGCTTATCACGGTCATAGGCCGCTGCAGACATTCAGTGGACAGGGGGCTGGGTACGAAGTCCCTGGAATGGATGGAACAGACCCCAAAGATCTGCCCCCTCAAAGTGCTGAGGACCCGCGTTGAGCAGCTCCGGGTCCAGAGAAGGCGGCCAGACGATGGCCTCCTGAGTGTGCTCCTTGTTGGAGGCACGTGAGCCCTCGGCACCCTGGCCCTGTGGCCCGTGTGCAGCCCCCGCTGACCAGTCTGGGGGCACGGGGAGGGGCTGCCATCTGCTGATTGAGATGTGCGCCAGATGCAGTAGATCTACTCTGGGTCAGGCCCGTTTTGAGGCTCCGGGACGTTGAGATTATCCCCATTTGATGGATGAGGAAACAGAGGCTCAGCGAGATTCAGTAACTTGTCTGTAAAGTAGAGCTGGGGTTTGAACCTGAGTGTGCCTGACTTGAAAAGCCACCCCGAGCTCAGAGAGAAGCCCCGAATTGTGCAGAGGGAGAGCTCCAGGGGACTAAGGGCAGGAAGGAAGCTAAGGAGCAAGGCACCCGGCCAGCGCGGGGCGGGGGGCGGTGCCGAGAGCCTCCTGTGGGGGTGCACTGGGGGAGGGGTCGAATGGCAAAAACGGCAGGCCCCGGGCAGCCCTCAGCGCTCTGCGCAGAGAGCTAGGTCAGGGCTGCTGGGAAATCGCTGGCGAGCAGGGCAGGGGGGCCGGGCATCCCCCGGGGGCCCTGAGCTCTCCCGGAGCTGCGTGCACAGTGAGCGGCAGCCTCTGATCCGGCGCGGGGTTCCTCGTATCCTACAGAGGAGGAGAAAGTATCAGTACTCTGAAAGGTGGGGGGAGACTTTCCTTGAAGTCAGGGAGCAGGATGGGGCTCTTTCCCCAAAGGGAAACCGTGAGACCCTCCGTCCTCAGTCCCGGGTCCTCCTCGCCTTCCCCTGCGGGCGGAGGTGCACTCACCCACGGACGCTCGCGAGCAGCCCCAGAGCACAGGGACGGGCACTTACCCGAGCCCGTGTCCCCTCCACCGCACGCTGACACGGACCTCATGCACACTCACACATGTCTCCTGCTCACCGGGCGATGTTAACATCTCATTATCTTTGTTACTGTAATTACATTATCTGCTGCTTTATGCAGAATTATCCTCCGAGGACTAATTGATGGCTCCATGTTTAATTCATTAATCATTAGCATCAAATTCGACAATTACAGTGCACACTGATTGTGGGATTGCAGGCGTAATGAGGGGAGAATTAACAAAGAAAAGGGAAAGCACTTTCCCTCCCTTGGGGTTTTGAGCTGGGGGGCTTGGGGAGGAAGTGGGGCCCTTGATGGCTTTGGGTGGGGCTCGGGATGAGGCAGGGACGAGATTTGGAACCCAGGAGGGGATGGAAGCAGGACATGGGTCGGGAGAAGGTCTCAGAATTTCGGAACTGTGTCTACCTCTCTGGAAGGTCTCCTGCCAGGGAGCCGAGGGGACCCTGAGGAAGGCTAAGCTGGCAGGGACCCGTGAGGCGGAGCGCAAGGGGGCGGGGTTCTGAAGAGGAAGTGCCAGCGCCTTGCCTCGAGGGGGCTGGAGGTGGGGTAGACCGGAGGGCCGTGTGGGCACCACACGTAGAACCCATAAGCACTTACTGTGTGTCTGGTCCTGCCTTGGGTGTTACGACGAATACAAGAGAAACACAAAACTTGCCTTCCACCTTTCGGCATCGTACTGTCCCCAGAGTGTTAGGGATGTTTGGCCTGTTTCTTTACCTTCTAGTGGCTTCTGCCCAGAGCTTCCATCCGTAGGCTTCCAGAAACCCCACCCATGTCCTCCCAGGACTGGTTTGAGGCTGAGTTTGCCACCTGCTCTCTCCCACTTCGTCCCCATCTCTGCCTCCTTACTAACCTCCAGCACCCGGCCCGCTCTCCCGCCTGGCGTTCAGACACCTCGCGTCTGGCCCTCCTGTCCTCAGACTCCCCACCACCACTGCCTTCCAGCCTCGGTCCCTGTCCTTACGTGGACGGAGGTGAGGGGGCACTGGAGGCCCTTCGGTTGTCACAGGCTCTGAGGCCCAGCGGCTGTCCCGTGGGCACGCTGCAAGGGACTGGGTGCCGGGGGGAAGCAGGACAGCTCGGAGGGCACAGGCAGCCCTGCCTGCCCGGGCCTTGGCGCTCCTGGAGCCTTTGGTTCCCTCGGCTCTGCCATTCTTCCCTGATGGGAAACGAAAGATTAATTTTCTCCAGCCCAACAGGATAATTACTAATACTAATTCGACATAATTACTTGACTCTGATACACTCATCTCTCGTCAGAATGGCACCAAAGCTGAGGCAAAGCAAATGGTATATGTGCACTGGAACGTGGGGCGCAGGGGCCTGATCCCGAGGGCAAGGGGGCCGGGGACGATGGCTCGACGAGGAGTACTGCGGTGAGGGGGTGTCGGTTCCACATGTCCCCCTCTTCCGGCTCACAGGAAGGGGACTGAGCTGCGGAGGGGGGTGAAGCGTGAGACCAGCTGCCTCCTGAGGTGTTGGGGGGCCCCCCTCCTCGAGGCCTCTCGGTCTCCAAGAAGCCTGGCCCAGTACCTGGTAAATCCAGTTTTGGCCGGTATTCTGCTAGAATTTCTCAAGTTCTGCCTGTAGCGTTATTTTCAGGAAAGTCTGTGTACCCCTCCCCAGCCTCCCTTCCCAGTCTGACCCTTCCCCCCACCCCCAGGTGCCCCCTACTCGGCCAGCAACTCGGCCTGGGCTGGCCCGCGCCCCGAGGGGCTGCACCAGCGCTCCTGCTCTGTTTCCAGCGCCGACCAGTGGAGTGATGCCCTGCCCCCAGGTACGCAGGACCCTGTTAAGCGACACAGAGGAGGGCAGCCAGCGAGCGTCTGCAGCCGGGGAGGCTGTGCTGGGATGGAGCCCAGGCCCAGGGGAGGGGCCCAGCAGAGCCTGCCAAGGCTTGTCGCAGAGTGCCGCAGGGCCCGTGCGGGGGCCTCCGTCCCTTCTCGGCAGCCAAAGGCCGCTTCCTGCCCCTCTGCCCCTTTGCTGTCCCCAGGCCCTGCCAGGGGCTGGCTGGTGCCGGAGACCCTCCCTCTGCTGCGTCTCTGCCCACCCACTGCTGTCCCTGGGCAGTGATGGCAGTGGCTCCCGCATCCCCATCAGCCCCCTGCGCAGCCAGCTCATCAGCCTCGCCGCGGGGGGGGCGGACAGGGAAGCGGCTGGGTAGGGAGGTCGGAGGCTGGGGGCTTTGAACACGTTCTAAAGGCAGCAACTTGCCTGCCACGGAGAGGGGGGTTTCTAGAGATAGGATCCGGGATCCAGAAAGGTAGTTTTCCCACCCGTGCTGCCTCCAGTGGGCTGAGGCCCCATCCTGTCTAGCGGGACAAAAATCCTACCTCCTCTCTCTGCCATCCCACCCTCCTCTTAACTGTCCTTGGCTCGTCTTCATTTTCTTCCCCTTCCGTCCATTTTTGTGCCTTGCTCTCACATCTCACCTTCTCCTTCCCCTTATTTTTTCTCCCTCTTCAGCGCGCACGGGTACGTACACACACACACACACACACACTCTCTCTCTCTCTCTCTCTGCTCCCTCTTTCTTCCCCCAACTTACTCTCACCCATCTCCTTCGGCCCCAGATGCCCTCAGCCGTTCTGCAGGCTGAAAGGGAAATGGGCACAGCGCTGCCCTCCTTCTCTAGGTTCGGGTGTGCCCCGTCCCCTCCGAAGCCGGGCTCCTCCCACTTTTCCTCCAGCTGGGCACAGTGCCCGGCCTGGCCCAAGGCCCACGAACTCTCTTCCTGGATGTGCCCCCCAAAAAGTCTTCACAGGCCCCCACCCCCCTAGAAGCACTAGGCCCCAGTCTGAGCTCTGACTGCAGGAAGGAGCTGGGTGCTCTCAGCAGGGGCATCTCCTCACCTCCCGATCCAGGTCGGAGCCTCCCTGCGGGGAGTGGCTGTGGAGGGCTTGAGAAGGGGAGCTGAGGGCGCTTCCCAGAGTCCCTGTCCTGACGGCCCGTGCTGGCCTCCACAGGCCCTCCGAGGGCCCCTCTGTTGAGTCTGGAAGGAGGAAGGCAGGGAGGGAGGGAGCGTGTCTGCCTCTAATGAAGTTTGACATTTAGTGGTGAGCGCCGGGCGGGGTGTGGGAGATGGGAGCTTGATTAGCGCGCTCTAATTGACAGTAATTAGGCAGCTCCCTGATTGTTTCTAATTCTGCTATTAATTGTGAGGAGCGGGGAGTGTGATTGAGGATAAATTTGGTGCGGAGCTGCTGGGGCTTCAGCTCCCTGTGAGTTCCCTGGGCCGCCTTCCGCCCCTCCGGGCTGCCGAAGCCCTGGCCAGTGATCCCTCCTCGCCTTTATCCTGCTCTGCCTGAGTTCCCTGCGCTCTCCTCTCTCCACCTTCTCCTCCTTCAAGGCTGGGGAGGCTTTGGGATTGGGACTGGCTGGGCAGACCCCTCCCTGGGCTCCCCCAGGGTAGCCCAGCTGCCGTTCAGGGTGGAGCTCCCCGTGACACTAGGCGACAGGAGGCAGGTCGAGGCAGGTCGTGTGCTCTGCCCCCCACCGTCCCCTCTTCCCACACTTCTCCACCTCTCCCCTCACCAGCCAGTGGCCCAGCTGAGGTGCTCAGTTCCAGCCCCAAGCTGGAGCCTCCCCCATCTCCCCACTCCAACCGGAAGAAGCACCGGCGGAAAAAGAGCACCGGGACCCCCCGACCAGACGGCCCCAGCAGTGCTGCTGAAGGTTAGGGGGACCTACAGGGAAACTGGGGCACAGGAGGTGGGCTGTGGGATTCGGGGATAGTACTCTAAAAGTAACACCATTCTCTCCGTTTTAAGAGTAAGTGCTTTGTGGTGATTAGCAATAACCATAGTTCCACAACTTCTTTGGGTAATCTAGATGTAGTATCTTAGAAAAGCTCTTCCTTCTGCCTAATTTAAGCCCTTTCTACTAAAATGTGAGCCTTTCTTTTATTCCTCGTGGAAGGTAAAAGACAGCAGGTGGCTACTCCGGGAGCTCTTCCAAGACTTGTGGGCAGGACCTATGTTTTCTGTGTCTCTTGTATCACCCATTGAGCTTAATGAGTGCTGGGCATATAATAGGTGCTTAATACGTGTGTAGGAACTGGCTAAGTCTCTCCTGACTCGTCTTTAGGCTGAGGAATTCCAGGCCCTGAAACATTTTTCCGTAGGGCCTTTCTCATAATCTAGTGTTAATCCTAGCACTCCTCTGATTTTCCCCAAAGGGTCTTCAAATTGTTCCTCTTCTCAGTGGTTGGAATCCTTTCGCTCCCAAATAATTTTAACCTATATCGATGCACAGCGTCTCCCTTCTGCTCTGATTGCCAGGGGTAGGGATGTGGGCAGGAGGGCGGAGATCGCCTCTGTGGGGAAGAGCTACCTTTCCCAGCCTACCTGTGGTATAGTGATGCTTAGATGCATGGCATGGAGTCCTCACTCTACCAGGGAACTGAGCCCCCCCACAGGATGGCGACTCTGTGGTTCAGGGGCTGTGTTGAAAGCAAGGTGAGGTGGAATGGTGGAGCCTGGGGAAGGAAGGGGCACCAGCATTCTTCCTCTAGGAAGAAGTTCCTGCTAAGGGTGCCCTTAGAGTAGGAGCCCAGCAGGAAGACTTCCAGGGGATGTCACTGAGGTGAGAGGCTGCCCTGGGTAGAGCCTGGGACTCGGGCCTTTGCCTCTGGCTCAGCGTTGCGCCTCCCCCCAGGTCCCCGAGTTCTCTCCGCGCCCCCGTGACACATGCGTGCTGCTTGTTAGGAATTATTCACCCATAGGGTGGTGACCACTGGCAGTGAGATGCGGGTGGCTGTCTTCTGTTGGCCTAAGGGGAGCAGAGCTTGGACCAGCTTCACCACATTGCTTGGGGTCACAGTCCGGCCCACAGTGCCTGTCACTGGAGCTGTCCTCGGGTCCCCGTCTGCTCTCACATCCCAGTTTGTGGGGAAAACCTCTCCTCCTCTCCCCATCCACTCGTCCTGCCTGTCTGTGCCAGGGTAGTGGGGGAGGGGCCCGGCTCCCAGGAGCCCCACGCTGACGCCGTCAGGAATATTGGGTTTAATGAGCTGCAAAATGAGGCGGCTGCAGCTGACATGTACGGATGGTGCCCACACCCGCCTTCCCCCACCCTCTCCAGCATTGCCTCCTAGCGCCCCATGGCATCCTTCTCCAGGCACTCCGCTCGTTTCTCCAGGAAGCACCCCACTCTGAATTCCAGACCCGTTCCTGGCTGTGCCAGGGAGGCGAAAACCTGGCACCCCGCCTCTCTTCACCCAGGCCCCACAGGCGGTTAGGAACGGGGGGGTGAGCGCTCCTCCGCACGACTCCCAGGTGCCCCAGGAGCATGGCCTTTGAGGCCAGGGATGGGGGGCAGAGGACGCTGGCCGGGCCAGCCGGCGCGCAGAGTTGTGGCAGGGGCGAGTCCCTGGCTGTGCGCACGGCGGGGCGCCCCGCCCGCCGGTGGGTAAGCACCCCGGTCTCCCACAGAGGCAGAGGAGTCGTTTGAGTTTGTGGTGGTGTCCCTCACTGGGCAGACGTGGCACTTCGAGGCCTCAACGGCAGAGGAGCGGGAACTGTGGGTCCAGAGCGTGCAGGCCCAGATCCTCGCCAGCCTGCAGGGCTGCCGCAGCACCAAGGACAAGGTTGGCACGGGGGCGCCCCTGGGGCGGGACCCCAGGCGGCCTCGAGGCTGACCGGCCACCCCTTGCCTCTTCCATGCGCAGACTCGACTGGGGAACCAGAACGCGGCTCTGGCCGTGCAGGCCGTCCGCACCGTCCGCGGCAACAGCTTCTGCATCGACTGCGACGCCCCCAGTGAGTGCCGGGGCCGGCGGGGCTGGGGTCGGGCGGCTTCGGGAAAGCCCCGTGAGAGGCTCGTGGCTGGCCCTGAGGAGGACGGGGGACAGGACTTTCCTGGTGGCCTCACTCTGCTTGCCCGTGGACCTCACTCACGATGCTTCCTCTCCTCACCTAGATCCAGACTGGGCCAGCTTGAACCTGGGTGCCCTGATGTGCATCGAGTGCTCAGGCACCCACCGACACCTGGGGGCTCACCTGTCCCGGGTCCGCTCCCTGGACCTCGATGACTGGCCGCCTGAGCTGCTGGCTGTCATGACCGCGATGGGCAATGCCCTGGCCAACAGCGTCTGGGAGGGGGCCCTGGATGGCTATGCCAAGCCGGGGCCTGACGCCTGCAGGTGAGTGGTCGGGCGGGGGCGTGGGTGCTCTGGTGTGGGGAAGACAGGGACAGGCCGTAGCGGCCGAGGGGCTACGGCTGCGCTCTAAGGGTTAAAAGTGGCCTTTGCTCTGCTTGGCAGTTGGCCCCTTGGGGTGCCCCTCCCCCTCCCCGCCTGTCACTCAGGCTCCTCACAACAAGAGGCCCTTTCTGAGCCTTATCAGCAGGTCAGGGGCCAGCAGGAGGCGCATGCGCAGGGCCCTATCACTCAGTGGCGTGAAGGCCCTCGCCCCGAGCTCGGAGATGGGGAGAATGGGTGGGAGATAGGAGAGTGCATGGGCCCCTGGTGGAGGCCCCCCACCCCCTTTGTTGCAGCAGGGCCAGATAAGCCACCACGGGAGCCCTGCCTGGAATCCGGCTGCCCTCTCAGCCCCCTACGTCCCTGCTGCCCCCCAGGGGCCTCCCTCCAGTGTTCCTTCCTTTCAGCTTCTTCCACCCCCTTTGCGTTACCCGCTGTATGCCGTCCATTTCTTAGGCTTGTCTCTTCACCGCTCCGTCCTACACTTTCTCTGTTTCTTCCTATTCCCCTTCGGGGTGTTCGTGTCATTCCCTGACCACCCTGCCCGGGCCCCGCCCGTTGGCTCGGGCCCTTCCTTGGCTCATGCCTTGATGGACCTGTGGTTGCAGAGAGGAGAAGGAGCGCTGGATCCGGGCCAAGTATGAACAGAAGCTCTTCCTGGCCCCGCTGCCGAGCTCGGACGTGCCGCTGGGCCAGCAGCTGCTCCGGGCCGTGGTGGAGGACGACCTGCGGCTGCTGGTGATGCTTCTGGCACATGGGTCCAAGGAGGAGGTGAACGAGACCTACGGGGATGGGGACGGGCGGACGGCTCTCCATCTCTCCAGCGCCATGGCCAATGTCGTCTTCACACAACTGCTCATCTGGGTGAGTTGGGGGGCTCCCTCCTGGCCTTTCCAGCCCCACCCTCGAGGGCTCCTCTGACCTATCCGACCTCCCCCCCGCCCCCCGGCCCTTCGAAAACCACCTCTCCGAGAACCCCTACCGCTCTTGCCACGTCGTGCCAACTGTGCAAATGTGCTTTCTTCTGCAGTATGGGGTGGATGTGCGGAGCCGGGACGCCCGGGGCCTGACTCCCCTGGCCTATGCTCGTCGGGCCGGCAGCCAGGAGTGCGCAGACATCCTGATCCAGCACGGCTGCCCCGGGGAGGGCTGTGGCTTCGCACCGACCCCCAGCAGAGAGCCTGCCAATGGCCCCAGTGCCTCTGCTGAGCTGCACCGAAGCCCTAGCCTTCTGTAAGGCCCGCGGAGGGGGCAGAGGGGCCAGAAGGACGCTGTGGCCGGGGGCCCCGCCTCCCTGCAGGCACTGGGGGGAGCCAAGACACAGAGACTGAGAAGCAGGGACGTGCAGAAAGGAAGGAGAAGAAATGAAGAAGAGTCGAACAAGAGAAGAGCTAAATGGGAGAGACAGAGGGACCGGAGGAGACATCTGGGATTTGAGCTGCAGCAGAGAGGGAGTGGAGCTATTCTAGCCCTCTGCCCTATGGTGCCACTGAAAAGGGACAGGACCCTTTGGAGGTACCTGTGAGGAGAGGGGAGCAGGACCTCTCCCTCCTCCAGATTCCTACCTTCTACTGCCAGCCCCCTGCAAGCCTTCATCCTAAAATGGAGCCGGGACGGACAGGGCACAGGTTGGGGGGGGTGCTGGAGGAAAGAGACGAGGAGGTGATCTGTGAGTCCCATGTAAATTTGTACATTGGAATATTTATGTTTGTGTACATATCTGGTGTGTGTGTATGATGAGCCAGTAAACCAGACTGTGTGTGGCCTTGTTTTCCCTTGTTCTCTCTCTGCCCTTCCAGAAATGCCCTTCAGCTCTACTTCTTTGTTGCTGTCTGTACTCAGACTTTGAGTCGGTCGGCAGCACTGGCAGCGAACCCTGGAGGGGGTTCGGAGCTCTGTGCTTCCTCCTGGAATCTCTGCACTGCCTTCCCCTCCCCCCACACCCTGCCCCTGCCCTCCAGCTGGTGCCCAGTAACCTCGTGCCACACCTGGTCCCAGCCAGAGCTCACCCACAGAGGGACAGAAGTATCACCCCCCTTCCTAAGACTCTGGGAACTCTCACAGCCAGACATACAGGGAGATACTCAAGGCACAGGACCAGCATTCTGAGGATGCCACAAGGGTAAGTGGTTAAATGTTACTAGGACAGCACTTCTCTGGGGCCTCATGCCTAGGCTTTGCTTTTGAGGAAAGGGGAGGAGGTAGGTCACTGATGGCAGAACAGCCACCTGGATTCCCACCACCATCTTGCCAAGCTGGGGGCAGAATCCTGAGCTCCTGTTTTCCCCTTTGACCGTCCCTGATCCTAGAAAGACCCGAGGGAAACCCCTCTATACCTTTCTTGAAGGATGAGAACTTGCCAAGTTAAGGTCCCTGCTCTCCAAGGAGCCTGTTTTCCCATTCCTACAACCACTTTGCTCATGGCCCTTGTTTTCTGCACCACTTAACGAGCGGGGTGTTGCAGGGCTGGCACTGTCTGGGGGCACCTGCCTGTGTGCAGGTAGATAACCAAGCAAGTGCTATTCAGAGAGGAAACCAGACTATATTTTCTTGGTCCACAGCCCCTCTGCAAGGCCAATAAGAGCCTTAGGCAAAAGAAGAGTAGAACTGAAACAGGGCCTTGGGTCTATATACTGATGGAGTCCTGGGCTCAGAAATTACTAGCAATAATCCCCTCCTTTATTTTCCCTAAAGAAAACCAGCCGCTCGAGTGGCTGAATACTGCCTGGTATGGTTTAGGAGGTTTCATAGGTAAATCCAGAAGAAAATGGTAAATCAGGACCTTGGTCTCCCCCCTCCACACACACACAGGCAGACAGCGTCTGCTCTAGCCCTAGACCCACAGACATGAATTCCCAACAGCCAAGGGACAGTAGCTCCTGTGATCTCTCCAACTGCTGCCTGGCTTCTCTCCTGAAAGAATCTAACCCCAAAGGTTCCTTATGTGGGCAGAGACCGCCTTAATCTATACCAGGAATGGGGCTGGTGCGGACTACATTTTTTTTTAGCCTGATTTTCCAGCCTTGCTAAAATTTTGCCAAATCGAGAAGACCTGCCCTGGATCCGTGCGTCCCAACTAGGGAACTGACACTGTAGCGAATAACCAGTCACGGCCCCAGGTCGCTTTCTGTTTGGTTGCCAAAACCAGCCAGGGGGCAGGGACTGCCACCGAAGGCCTGTCTGCTCACACGAGGCATGCGGCAGATGTCTGAGTAAATAGTGGTTGGCGCACCATGGCAGGGACCGGGCACAGCAGCAGTTTCCTAAGGACGGTGAGGAGGCTGGCCAGGTACTTGAGCTTGTGTTTCCCTCCTAGACCTTAACCCCCCGAGTCTCCTTGCCCCGCTCAGAGCCCTGCCGGTTCTTCTTCTCAGTGGCTCTGTTCTCTACCCTGGCTGTGCTCCCGACTCGACGCAGGTCACATTTCTTCCCAGGAAGCCCCGCTTACCACGCTCCCAACTTCAGCCGGTGTCTGTAACCCTCCTCTTTCCCGTGTCCGTGCAGCCCAGCTGCAGAGCTGGCACAGGAGAGAAGCCCTTCTGTGAGGGGGGAAACGGCAGATAACTTGAGTTTGTCTCGTTTCCCCTCCCGGTATACCCAAGTGCCCCTCAAGTCCCCGATCCTCACCTTTACTTTGTCCACTAAGGCCATTCCTTCATTTGCCCGTAGAACCCCAAACCCGAAGCTCCCAGTCCCTATCTCTGTAGCTTCCCCCACAGGACACAACCGTCCAGAACATCACACATTCGCTCCGGCCTCGTCCACTCTGCAGTGGGCCCTCTCAACCCAGCTCACTTTACAAATGAAGAGGATCTGGTATCCCAAGCAGCGTGAGCCATACGAGACCCCACAATTAATGCAGTAAGAACAGGACTGGAAATGAGTCTTACTCCAGGCCCTCCCATCTGGAATACCAAAGGGGGGCAGCGATGGACTCAGCTGCTGTGTCCTCTGCACAGAAAAAGATTGAGCCCACAGGTGATAAGGGTGAGCCCCCAAACTGCCCTAGTCATGAACAGGACTGGTAACCTCTACCGAGTTAGGGCCCGGACATACCTCAGCTAACCTAGGCTCAGGTACTTCATTTCCCCTCGTAATACAAAAAGGGGGGCGAATCTCCTCTTCTGAAGTCTGCCAACTCTCCCAAAGAGAAGAAAGCAGAGATGAAGAAGCTTGCCTTGTTTAATGGGGAGAGAGAAAAGAAATGTGCCAGGAACATGGGGTCTAGAGGTGTGGACAGGGGGCAGCACCCGGATGGGAAGTGGAGGTGGTTTACGTGGGGGGAGATGGTGCGTGCCGAGGGGTTCTAAGGAGGCCAGTGACAGTTTCATTCTGTTGCTTTGTATGCCCTTGTCCTACAGATAGGCAGGAAAGCCCCCACCTCAAGGCAGGAAGGTGGAACTGAACTCTGGCTGAAGATGGAGGGAACGCGGAACTTTCCCAGTCTCGGGTTCAGACAGACAGAGGCAGATAGCTCCATATATACAAACTTTACAGAAAATAAATAAGGAGCTGTGATCAGCTTGACTAGGTTTCATCCTGGATTCTTCCCACCCCTGTGAGAAGTAATTCCAGGGCATTAGCTGGGAACCTCTCAGGCCCTAGGCATGTTAGAACCCACCCCCTCCCCAGGAGTCCACCTCAATCCCCACAGCTCCTCGGCATCGAGAACCCAAGCCCCCAGTCTGAGGGTCTCTGGAATAGGCGCAGGGCCCGGTGCCCACGTCCCGCTTGCCAGGAGAGCACACCCAGCACGAAGTTAGTTGCCACCTGAGCCCCCTCCCAGGGCAGGGTCACAGTGGTAGCCCCTCTGGTCTGCAGCACCCTGACCCAGTCTCGGAGCAGGCACGGAACAGAGCCTTTGCTTCCAGAACCCTCGGGAGCCCCTTCAGGGCCGGGCCCCCTGTTCCATTTGCTGGTGCTGGCTCCGTACGGCAAACCTGTTGACGTGCACCGGTATGGGTACGACGATCTTGGGGTTTCTCACCGGCTCCCCAGAACGGCTGCTCACATTGCCAGCTTTGATGCGCTTCCACTTGGCCCGCCGATTCTGAAACCAGATCTTGACCTGCACCTCACTGAGCTTGAGGGCGTGGGCGATCTGGGAACGCTCTGTCAAGCTCAGGTATTTCTTGCAGTGAAACTCCTTCTCCAGCTCCAAAAGCTGCTCGCTGGTAAATGCCGTGCGGCGCCGTCGGCTCTTGCCCCCAGGAGCCGTGACTCCCGCTGCCACCGGTGCCCCCTCCTCCGCTCCAGTCCCCAGGCCTCCCTTGAGCTTCGGTTCAGGTCCCAGGAGAACCCCGGGGGCCCCTGCAGAACTGTCCAGGAAACCATCCTCGTCGCTGTCACCGCCTGAGCCCTCTTCCTCCTGTTCGCTGCCTGCTGGGTCTCCTGCTGGTGCCTCCAGCTTCTCCTCATCTGAGCTGTACACCTTCCCCTCTGCGTGGCGAGCGAAAACCAACGGACGGGGAAGGAGCCGGCAAGGAAAAGATAGGCAGGTTGGAGGCGGCACGTGGGACCATGGCCAGGCCCGGACAGAATGGCGGCAGGAAGAGAGAGACAGGGGAGGGAGGAGGTGGGGAGGAGGGGAGACAAGGACAGCACAGCCAGGACACGGGGTGGGGAAGAGGTTCAGGGAAGACAAAGAGATGGAAAGACAGGTATTAACCAGCACAGATTTCACTATAGCCAGTGGTGGGGAGGGCAATCAGCGTACATCAAAGGAATGCCATTCCCAGGACAGGACCCCTCAAATCACCGCCGCCACCACCCCACCTCATTCTCTCTACCCGCTACCTTCCCAGCTTCCTCCAAACCCAGGCCCAGGGCTTTCCACTCATTCGCCACCCTTCCAAATCCAGACGGCCCAGGCCCCGGAGTGAAGCAGTGTGAGACTGGCTCAGGAGCCTTTCCGTCGCTCCAGGCAGGAGGCAGCCCGTCTGCGGGGTAGACGGGGAGATCACACTGTCAGCCTCGGTTACTCTCCTAGGGATCCTCACCGGCCCGGGGTTGAGCTCTGTTCTGTCTCCCCTCTTCCCCTCTGCCCTAGATCCAGAATCTCCGAATCTCATTTCCAGATGGAAACTGAAGGGTCATCTAATTCCCCGTCCTCACCAACCCCCCCACCCCAAATCTGGGCCCAAGAAATGTTACCAAGGGCTTTGGGACTTGTCCTTCCCCCTACTTCCAATTCTCCCTGACCAGCCCAGCCAGCCCAGAATGGGGAGCCCTCCCAGCTACAGGCCGCCTTCTCTGTGGCCAAAGCTTCTTCCAGTCGCCCAGCTCTCCTAGGCCCCTTTCAGTCCCTCCCCTCCTCCTTAACTGTAAAATGACATCATCTCTCTCCCCACCAAGGATGCTGGAACAGCACAAACAGCTGCTTTCTGCTCAAGTTCTGAATCCTGAGGACCCTGAGCTTGATGTCAGCGGGAAGAACTGGAGGGAATATGGGAGAAGATAAAGAAATAGAAGTGCAACAAGGGAAAATGTAGAGAGGAAAATGGTAAAAGAAGAAATCTTGACTCATTTGGTAGATGACTGATTATTTGTAATTACAGCCATATCAAGTGTTTTCAATCCATATGTAACTCTAATAATCTTAAATTCAATCATCGGTTTTAATCTTATCCATGGACAGGTTTGTCAGAACTTCAAATAATGGATCGTAAGTGTTTTCAGTAGTTGAGTTTTAAAACTGCCTTGTTTTCTGCCCAAAGGGCCAATAAGCAGTGAAAAAGTCAGAAGAAACCCAACCAATAGGAAAGAGAACAAGAGGAAATGGGTAACCTGGACACCAACTAGTCAGCTCTTTACCACTGAGTTCACAGTGTAAAGGGGTTGGGATTTCCTAAGGGCGGGGGTGCATCGGTCTATAACTACCACGCATCCCACGGACACTCATAAGCTCTGAGGTTGAGAATATGACCCGAAGTAAAAGAACATCAGGGAACAGTGAAATGCCTTATAAGAGGAGCAGGCTATGTGCTTGAACACCTTCCAGCACCCCTCGCCACCTGCCTGTGTTCCAGAAGGAGCACCTTGGGGTCTCCAGGACCAGCCCGGTAACCTTCCCCAGCCCCAGAGCTCCTTTCCCTTCCCTGATGCCATCAAGCTACACCCCTTCCCTGTCCTGGAGAGCCATGTTTACACCCTCCTTAGAGGCCAGACTTCTCAGCCCACGTCCAGATCGCCCACCTCCATCACACTCAGCTTCTTTCACACCTCAAGGGTATTTTTATCCCCAGCCCCTGCCTTTTCTTCCTTTAGGGCTTCATTCTTCATCTAATTTCAAAACCCGTGTGGCACACCCTCATTTAGGCTCACCCAGCCTACCTATGTTACTCCTACTCATTGCTTTTCCTCAGTAAGCACTCTCTGTTCCCTCTAGCAGCTTCCCAGGCTTCTCGAGCACCAGCTTCACATCCATCCATCCATCTGCCTGTCCCTCGGTCCATCTACAGAAGTTGCTCCTTGCCATACGTCCCACGCTTCATCCCAGACCTCATTCTAGCCAAATCCATGTTTTCTACAAGCGTCACATCCTTGGTTCTCTCCTTCATTAACGGCTCCTTCCCACACTATTTTCCATTTTCACAGAACTCAGACTTAACATGTCCCAAACAGAACTCCTGAACTCGCTACCAAACCAGCTCTTCGCTATCTGTACTCGCGTCCTTCCCAGCTTGGTTAGTGGTAATTCCATCCTCCTTGTTGTTCAAATCAAGCCTCACTCCTCTCTCTCACAACCCGTGCCCACTCCTGGAGCCCGCCCTTCTCACCCGTGTCCCCTGCATCCGACCAGTCCCAGGCAGCATCACGTCCCGCCTGGTTCATCAACCTGTTCTCCAAACTGGTTTCCCTGCTCCTGTCCTCCCCTCCCCTTCCCTGCCCCTCCCTAAGAACAGATGATTCTTCTGTTCAGAATACTATACTCTCCACCTGGATTTTTGCACTCGCTCATTCCCGGTCTCCTTCAGGTCCTTACTTTACCAAAGAGACTTTCCCCGATCATCTTTTCAGAATGAAAACTCCCAGTACTCCTGCCTTCCTTTTCTGCTTTATTTGTTGCTATAGTACATGTCACAAACTTTATTCATTTATTTTATTGGCTCTCTTTTCCTATTAGAATATAAGCTTCATGAAGGTAGGGATTTCTAATATATTTTTTTCACTGCTGTATCTTCAGCATCTAGAAAATTATCTGCAGAGTAGGCACTCAATAAATACTTATTGACTAAATAAAAAACTATTCCCAAACACTTTCTCTCTCCCTTCCTCCCTCTCTCTCCCTCTTCTGTCTCCACCTCTGTTCTTCCTTTCCCAAGCCTCTCCTAATATTCTCCACAGCCCCACCCCATCCAGTGCCCAGAAGACATTCTCTCCATGAGTATTATTCTACCCACTTTTCAATATGTCCTCTGATCTCACATTAGCTGGAGAGAAACCCATATGCCGTGGGAATCTATAGAATCTTATGCTAAAAGAAATAAAGGAAAATCCTTCACATCATTACTAAATCCTCTGTCAATTTTTAAAACCTGGTTTGTAGTACATAATAACAAAAAGAATAATAAAAGCTTGTAAAAACCCAGCCCAATATTACAATATTCTAAGCAGCTACTAAAAAGGCAGAAACTGGATTTCAGGGCTTGAAGGATGAAATCATTTAGCACAGCTCCAAGTACCCAGGGGGTGTCCAATAAATCTAAACTGATGATGATTGAGATGAGGCTCCCAGGTTCCTTGATCTGGCAGGGCCCTCCTGAGATCATACCATCCATCCCTGTCTTCAGACAGATTCCATAAAATCAGGCCCACATAGGCAGACCTCCCTCAGTGCTGGGTGTTTTTTTTTTTTTAAAGATTTTATTTATTTATTTGACAGAGAGAGACACAGTGAGAGAGGGAACACAAGCAGGGGGAGCGGGAGAGGGAGAAGCAGGCTTCCCACGGAGCAGGGAGCCCGATGCGGGGCTCGATCCCAGGACCCTGGGATCAGGGCCTGAGCTGAAGGCAGACGCTTAACGACTGAGCCACCCAGGCGCCCCCCTCAGTGCTGCTTTTAAAGCCATACAAGGGGCACATGTTCACAACCTCTCTTGGTTACTTGATCCCGGCGGGATGCTGAACGGCAGGGGCAAGAGTTTCTCTCTGTGCCTTTATAATCATGACATTGAGGGCTCTGATACGCAACTCTTGGAAGGAGGTGGGGGTGGGGCAATATGAAAGCAACCAGGAGGGGGAACTACAGCTATACCCTCAGAGGAGAGGGTCTGGGGCAGTGAGCAACACTGAGATGTGGGAAAGAAAGGGCCAAAGCAAGCAGAAAAAGGACTGGGGCGGGAGACAAGTGGGGCAGACACAGTGGCAAGAGAATGAAATGATGAGTCAGAGAAACTCAAGAGGCTGGAAAGTTTAGAGAAGGACTAGAAAAAAAAAAAAATCAGGGAAAAAGAGAGCAAAAAGCTTAAAAACAAAACAACCAAAAAAATCATACCCCCTACCTTTCTTCCCCCAAAACACGACTGCATTCGGAGCAAAGCAAAACATTTTTGCCCTGCCACGTGCTCTTTGCTCCACCGAGATGGAGCACTTTAAGATGCAATCAATACCCAAAGTGAAGGAAACATATTCAGCAGAATCGGATGAGCCATACAGTAGCCCAATCCTTAACAATATAGCGATCCTGAAATGGCTTACTATTTTCTTATGGATTAGCTAAAAAATAAATGCAAGCTATTTTCTTTTATCTGATTTGTAATGAATATTAAGAGTAAATATAATCAAACAAAACAAAAATTGCACACAGAAAAATGTGTTGACTAAAAACTGACAGAAGCAAATCTTTCTGATAAAATTTTTTTTTTTAAAGATTTTATTTATTTTTTAGAGAGCGAGCAAGCGAGAAACAGCATGAGAGGGGAGAGGGTCAGAGGGAGAAGCAGGCTCCCCGCTGAACCGGGAGCCCGATGTGGGACTCGATCCCAGGACCCTGGGATCATGACCTGAGCCGAAGGCAGACGCTTAACCATCTGAGCCACCCAGGTGCCCTCTGATAAAATTTCTAATTGTGAAATTTGATTTAGAATAATTAGACTTGGTAGATATAATGTCCATAAAAGTAAATTACTAATTGCAGGTGCTATAATTGGTTGATATGAGCAAAACCAAAACAAACAAAAACCTTGAGCCATAAAATGAGGCTTCATTGAAAAATTTTACATGGGAAATGATTCTGATAAGAATAATTTTAGCAGGGGCACCTGGGTGGCTCAGTTGTGAAGCGTCTGCCTTTGGCTCAGGTCATGGTCCCAGGGTCCTGGGATCGAGCCCTGCATCGGGCCCCCTGCTCCTCAGGAAGCCTGCTTCTCCCTCGCCCACTCCCCCTGCTTGTGTTCCCTCTCTTGCTGTGTCTCTGTCAAATAAATAAAATCTTTAAA